CTTCGGGCGTTCCAGGCCGGCTCCGACGAGTTGACCGCACGCAGAGTGATGATCAGCATTTGTCTCTCTTTGATCTAAATCAAGGGGTATACTTTCATATAATCAAGTGCCATTTTTTTTGGTGGCGTAATATTTTCCCATGTGAGGCCAAAAAAGGTTCCGATGTAAGTAGATCGCTCAGTGTCGCTTTAGCCTGGCGGTGCTGCAAGTTGTTGTTTGGGATATCTCCATGACCCAATTGCCAAGCACTGAATAGAACCAAACACTTATTTTTTTTTGTCTTGTTGGAACTCCTGGTATACTTTAGTTAGAAACCACTTTTCAGGGGTGGCTCCCTGTGCAAGGCTGCGCAAGGAATGCAATTGCTGCTGGTCTTTGCCCTCATGGTTTGGAAACCCATTGGATGGGATAGTTGAATGTGTTGGAGGTACTTTCAGAAATTCACATTTGTTTCATCGAACATACGATTAGACATTACGTTGTTTTTGTTAATTTTGGATCTGCAAAAACGATCTCAAGCAATTGCCCCTTACATTTTGATATATATGTCCATGGTTAAATGTATCACCAATGGCATGCACAGTACTTCACCCAATCTGGTTTTGCAACCCTCCAGATTTGGCGCCTTGAGGCCACATTGCTCGATCTCCGGTCAGGTGCGGTCGCCCCCTGTGCCGTGCATGGCCCCCCCCCTCGGTGATGGACAGTTGAGATCGAGGTACTTAAGGATGTAAACCCAACTAAATGTAAATAAATGAATACATAAGTGACTCTCTCTATATATAATTATATATAAACATGTATTTATTACACATATAACATGTGTATATCTATATATATATAGAAAAATAAGTATATTTATATATATACATATGTAAAATATGTTTTTATGTGGAGTATATCACATACATCGCTGGGTAGTATATTGATGGCTATTGTCATCTTACTATTTGGCATGCACGATAGGGGTGAAGAAACATATTCAGGAATGGTTCAATAATCGTTGGACTTTTTTGGAAGAAACATGGGGATGGAAATTCCTGATTTGGGTTTGGTACTGGATGGGGCCGCGTATATTCTCTTCGGGTCAACTCAGCTCATAGTAAAATTCAATTCATTTCAGATCCGTCTCGATATATAGGGGTTCAAGTGCGGTGGCCGACCATGGGACGTCCAGTGCCTCAAGCGCTGGTGCAGCGCTACGCTGATGCCTTTGCAGAGCAACAGCGCTTGAAAGAAGTCTCTGGGTTGAGATTACGTACGTCAGGGATAACCTTTTTTCCCCAATGATCAGTACGACCACAGATTTTAATTCATTTCCCCAAATGATCTGTAATCCAATTCGGCTAAGGTTGGGTTCAGTTTCCTGATGGACTGCTCGGGGAAGCTGTTCAAACCCCTTCCCAAAAAGCCTTCACTCCGTGACATCGAGGGAAATACGGAAGCTATCTATGCAATCATGTCGGTGTCAAAGGGCCAAGGCCGCTTCAGCTCCTACACCCTCAAGCACGCAATCATGAGGTTTTACAGTATGTGCAATCTTTTCCCCACAGGTATCACTGAGGATCTATCCATAATAGACACATGGGCGTTGCGGCAGGGGCACGCACTGCAGCGTTTAGTCACTTGGATTTTTGGTGGGGCTTGGATTTATGGGCCAAACTGTTTACATGGCCAAATGTCACACTGATTTCAGGCCCAATATTTTCCAACTTTCTGTGAGAGTGAGCTATTGCAATCTATGTTGTATTCAGATCACAAATAAGCGCATACACATATGGATGCATATGTGCACACGCGCATGGACACATATGTATGCATGCATACATACATATAACTTTCCATACCTATATGTATCTATACATGCTCGCATTCACATTTGCATCTACATAAACATTTGCATATATGCATATACATCCTCACCTTCACATTCTTGAGTTTACATATGCATGGGCATATTTACACACACGTATATATAAATAGATATGTAAATATAAATACGTACATACGTACATACGTACATACATACATGCATACAAACATACAAACATACATACATACATACATACATACATGAGATAAATTAGATACATTAGATAGATAGATAGATAGATACATACATACATTCATACATTAGATACATAGATACATAGATACATACATACATGCATGCATGCATGCAGGCTACGTACGTACATTTTTACAGTACACACAGTACATACAGTACATACAGTACATACAGTACATACACACACATACATACAAACTAATACAAACTAATACAAACTAATTCAAACTCATACAAACGTACCAATATAGTTTTTGTATATATATATATATTTATTTATTTATTTATTTGTATACTGATATTAAATAGGAAGATTGATAGATTAATAGATCGATAGATATCAGGCAGATATTTGTTCATGTATTTGATTCTAAACTCATGCATCCATGAGGTGCAGCTGGGGAGAAATTGATTTCAAAACACGCATCACCATGCCAAGAAACCTTGAATGAAATCCCTCTCAGTTTACTTTTTTTGGTGGCTATTCTACATATGGTGGGCCCATGCTGTTAGCCATGCAATCAAAATTTTACCTTACAAATGACATGGGGACCCACGAATATGTGCCATGAATGTGCCAAGGTGAGTCGTTTCCGTCGGCTTTATCGCCTCGCTGATGGCAGCAAGCGCAAGAAGATCTCTGCCCTGAAGAAGAGCCTGAGTGGCATTGTGGTGCCTAAGCTCAGTTCATAAAGAGGAGGAAATGGTTGTTGAGTGAGGTTAGTGATTTTCCTGTCTGCCACCCTTAAAGAAAAGCCCCAAAAAGAAAAAGTGCCAAAGGAACCCCTTCCTTAATTTTGGGGTGTTTTTAGATTTTTGGGCAAACCAACGGAAAATGACAAAGTGAGGTAGTTGTTTTTTTTTTGAAACCATGTGTGGTCGATCTCTTGACCCTACATGCCCAAACCTGCGCCCTATATGACCCACTATTGTTTCCAACAATTCATGGTCCAGTTGAAGTTGGTAGCAATATATGCTGATGACCAAGGATTTCAATCCCTATGACAGTCATCCTGATGATGAAGAAGGTGATGGGGATGGTGACAGCCCTGCTAGTTTGGACACCCTCTCAGAGATTTCCTCGAGACCTGCGACTTGTTTTGCAGATTGCGGGTTGTCTCCCGGATCCTGGGATATTGGCTTGTGTCAGGTATTATAGTTGGAAAAACACAATATATATATATATATATATGGAAAACACAATATGTGTATATATATATAGCTTTCTGCCCAGTGGCTGACTTCCAATCAATTTTCTATCGCATATACATTGTGGTGTTTCCTTTGCTATTGCCCAACACTGCAGTCGAACACGGACTCGCTTCCGGACTTTGGGAATCAGACCCCTCTGGATGCCCGACTGGTCTTGATGGCGCAGCAGCTGAAGAGTGCCAAGCAGCACGCGGCAGAGACTGGCAGCAATCAGGAGCGGATGTGTGGTGGTCCCCCAAAATATCACTTTTATACTGAGGGGAAAGCATTCATGAATTAATGAAGGGGCTTTTTCATCTCTATATATGACATATATAAATATATATATATATATACAGGAAGGAATTGGCTTTTTAGATCTTTCTAGGAATGCCTTTCCACCCAATTTATTTGAGTTATGTGGTTCAGATGCAATAATTGCCTTTTACTTTGTGAGGCCCAAGATATACATCCCAAATGTGATGAAGGCTTTTTGAAATCAATCGAATGTTGCAAAAAACTAAGGTTAGTGGTTTGCGGGTCCCATCAATCGCCAGGACAATGAGGACAAGCCCAAGGACCTGACCGCTTTGGCATCTGCACTGAAAGCCGCTGTCGCTGCCAGGAAGACTCCTGAGCAATCGCATGCGCTGCCGGCTTTTGTTCCTTTGTATGAAGGGAAAAGGGGAAGTGAGAGAGAGAGAGAGAGAGAGATATATATATATATATAAAAAGGCCAATGGCTTTTCCAATTAGAAGATGAAATTTCATACAGAGGCCAATAAAACGTTTTGAAGATTTGCAATGGTACTTCGGGTGCGTGATCACTATGGAGTTAAATTTCTCTGGATAGATACTTATATATATATATATATTTATTTATTTATTTATATTTGATATATGCATGCATGTTTGAAGTATGAGTTGGGCCTTTAATCCCCCCAAAAATACTGTTTGAGTATACATGATATATCTTTCCATGTCCAGGAAACTAATCGACGGGATATTCTATTTGAGGTGCTGAAAACTTTGGCATGTCCACCAGCTCCGGAACCTTTCGCCATCAACAAGCAGTACAAAGCCAACATGGTGGAAAATCAGCAGGGGGATGGTGATAATGCTGAGCCCTCTACGGTTGAGCCCCCGGTGAAAAAGAGAAAATGCTCCAAAAGTGGAGACCCTGACAAAGCATCCCCAAAGTCAAATGGTGCCTGTGAAACAGCCACTGCATATGTCCCAAAGGAATACAGTTCTCAGAAAGCTGCATTCATCCGTAAATTAAAGGATGAAGGCGTTGCCAATAGTGAAGCCACCCAGAAGTGGAATGAAAGCACCTTGAAGAAGGATCTTCTGAGTTCCCTTCCGGTTGGTGAATTAATTCGAAGGAGATTTTGCCCTAAGGGAACCAAAACAAACCCTTGGGCATGATTAGGAGTTCTTGCACATGGGGTAACATGCTGCTTCAGCATCATAGACCCTGGTTGAAATAAATTCAAGTGACTTCATTTGAGGCTTCTTATCAACATCTCTGCGGTACTGCACGTGTTGAGGTCCCTGAAAAAAATGTTAAAGAGCGGCCTTGCCTGGTAGCTGATTGTTGGGGGTCTCCTTGAAGAACACTGAACTTATAAAGCAAAGATGACTATCCAACCAATGGCTTGCCTCAACTGAAAAAAGTGGTATATCAAACCAATATTTGAGCCGCTTCAGCTCAGTTGGGTCTTTGAATATCGTGCCAGATATGATTCTGGCGTTCCAACAATGGTCTGCCCCGCCAGTGCTGATGCTTCTTTGCCTGCTTCTCATTTTCAATGGGAAGGTGGAAAGAACCGTTGACGTAGAATATGTGGAGGTTTTCGCAGGGGTCGCTGAAATCAGCAAAGCTTGTAGGGCGCATGGCATGGTTGGATCTTCGCATGATCTCGCCTACTCTCCACACTATGATTTGTGTGGACGCACTGGGTTTTTGTACCATGGCTTAAGCAGAAACTGCTTTTGGGCTAATGGATTTTGGAGTCCAATTATATGTTCATATATGTTCGGGTTTCATATGTTAGGCATCTCATCAAAAAGTAAAGTTTGCAAAGGGGTTTGCAAAATGTATAGTTTGGTGAAAGAACATTCCTGATCCTGACCCATATATGCCACCCTCCCAGCTATCCTTCAGGATGGCAGTCAATGAGCTTCTCCGTGCTGTTCCTGGCTCGCTTTGTGTCTTCGCTTTGTGCTGCAACAGCTACTGCCGAATGTGCCCTGGTTGACATATGTGGGAGTTCACCAAAATAATCAGCACCCCTTAAAACACCAAATACCTTGGATAATATGTTTGCCCTTAGCTGGATTTTGGATAAGGTGCCATATAAGGGGAGAAGCTCAATACCAAGGCTGCCCCAGAAAGTTGTTCTGCATAAATTATATAGGTATATATTTGCAGGGTGGCAAAGAATTTCCAACCAACCACTTGCCTATCCACTTACCCATCCATCCAAAGCAATCCATATATTAACTATGGTAACCGACAGAATTATGGAAAAAAAAAACGTTCAACTTAGACAGGCGGCGCCTGCGTCCGATTTTTCCATAATTAGGTTTTTCCCCATAAGGGTTCAAAATATCCCGGAAGTGATCCGAACCTTTTTTTTTTCCATAATTCTTGGAGGTGGCCATTATTTCCATAATTGATTTTTCCTGTAAAATCAGGGGGCTAGGGCAGATTGACCGGTTTTTCCATAATTATTTTTTTCCATAATTATTTTTTCCATAATTATTTTTTCCATAATTAATGTTTGGGGCTCCACCTGTTGGACATGTCATGGATCCACAATTCAAACCCCTTTTTTTGGGGGGTTATGGAAATATGTATGCAAGTGCAAGTATGTAGTATCAACCCAATTGGTGGCTTGGCAAAAGGATACATCCCGCTATAATTCAATATTCCCCCTTAAAATGCATTCAAATTGCGAACATCACATGATATTATGTATATCAATGGAAGACTTAGGGGCATATACCAGATCTTTAGACACATATTTTCTATAATTCAATATTCCCCCTTAAAATGCATTCAAATTGCGAACATCACATAATATTATGTATATCAATGGAAGACTTAGGGGCATATACCAGATCTTTAGACACATATTTTCTATAATTCAATATTCCCCCTTAAAATGCATTCAAATTGCGAATCGATGGACATACAGTCACCGACAGAATTATGGAAAAAAAATAATTATGGAAAAAATAATTATGGAAAAAAAAAGGTTCGTAACTTTTCTATCATAGACAGGCGGCGCCTGTAAATTGAAACGTTTTTTTTTCCATAATTCTGTCGGGTGCTGTATCCATTTTAATATCTATTATCCCTCCACCGCTCCCTATCCATATCTGCCCATATGTATAGGATTGCTGGTTTTCAGTTGAAGTCAATCTTTTTTGAGTTCATAAGTATGTATATATATATATTATGTTACATGCTCTTTGAATCTGGAATGATTTGTTTCGGGAGATGATATAGTTGACTTGGTTCCAGGTGGGTTCTTACTTCTTATAACTCGCATTTTTTGGGGTTGCAACCAGTTTATCTGGAGGCCATTTTGTGGGATCAAAAGCTGGGTGCCCAGTACTCTTAAAATGCAGTCAAATGGAAACCTGTGAATCTTAAGCGCGCTTATATGCACGCTGCACATCTTGAATATGGTTCCCTTACGCACCATACTATAGGTGCCTAACTATCAACCTAGGAGTCGAGCTACGTCTGGCCGTGGAATCCTATGCCCTCTTGGAGATATGTCCCGCAAGTTTGTTCGGGAGGGCAACCTCTTAGCCAGCCGACTGATACTGATGCTTTGGATATGTGCCAGCCGGGGATTGATTTGGCTAGTCGAGCAGCCAGAGGGGAGTGTCTTCAATCTGCATCCCCGGTGGCAAGAGTTTGTGGCCCACTGCCCTGTCCCCCGGCAGAATTTAACAAATATGTTCGTATCAAAGAACCAGCAATGGCTACTACCCAAAGGGATACATATAGCAATGTTCCTGGTGGTTTGGCACCCAAAAAGGGCCCCCACAACCCTCAAAATATATCAGCAAAAATTTGGGAAAACGCTTTTGGAGCACGTTATTGTGAGAATCTTCTTGGTGGAAAAACCAACAGGAGAATTACCCCAGATATATATCTAGCTATCGATCTATCTGTAGATCTACATCTATATATGTATATCAACTTAAAAGAGAGACCAATCTGGTCCTTCGGATCCGTTTTGATTGTTAGATGTAAATTTCTACTTGTAGAAACACTGTGGATGGAAGAAATCCTGCACCAGTTAATAGGTGGTTTATCCCAATATTTATAGGTGTTTTACCATCCCATCTGGTGCAGGATTTCTTCCATCCACCGTATGTTTTTGAATAGTTCTGTTTTATTTCTGAATTGTGGGTGATGCATATGAATCCTTATATAATGTTTGCCGTTCACATTTCTTAAGTTAGACTCTGACCTCTTGCGGAGGCTTTCACAACATCCTTTTGGATGGGAGCTTTCAATGGACCCACGGCGAAGCGCCATAGGCTATGGAGCAACAATTCCAAATTGTTGGGTGGTATCTGGAAGGCTGGTGGCCACATGTCCCGGGAAGCATTATCTGCACTTCCTGGTGGCCCACTAGTGCGGAAGTACACTGACAAGAATGGGGTTGCCCGTACTGTTGGCTTGAAGGATAAGCTTAAGGCTTCCCAGCTACTTGAAGCAATTTAGCACTTCATTTGGTCAAAAGATGGATGGCTAGCTTTAACATTTTATGAGGGCATATGTGGGTACATAAATGTTCAGGACAAGTTCAGACTCGTAGGTGACAGATCGAAAACAATTTTTGGGGTCTGGTCCGTACCTCCGCTCAGGGCCTACACTCCCACTTTTGGGCAGCGAGTGGCCTTGTTGGCAAGGGATCTTCGCCAGGCATGGTGTTGGCGAACCTGGCTGATGTGTATAAACAAACAATTTTACTCAGGGTCTCTGGGAGGTTAACTGAAACAATTCCAACACCAGAAGCTATTTTAGACCAGATAATGAAAAGCTTCGAAAATATATTGCACTACTGTATATATTATTTGAACATGGGCTGCTATATATATAAATATATATTTATAGAGCTGGTTGATAACCCAATGTAGGCTGCCATGGATGCGTGGGTGGATGGACTGGATCGATTGGGATGTTGTTTTCAATAGCCCTGCAATGTTCGCAGCATAGCTCTTTTAAAGCAAATGAACCCAAAGGAAATCATTTAAACATGTGATGTGGGAGAAAGGGAAAGTAGATTTGCCCCTGATTTGATGTAATTGTTGTGGATTATATACATCCAGCGCTTTTGTTGGGCACTTAAGTGAATGCAAAATAGAGATGTTCAATACCTACAGTAAAGGGTTTCCAAGTCCCAAAGATGCTAATGATCGGACTACCTGCATTTGCGTTAAAACCTTGTGTATATATATATATATATGTATCAAGCAGTTTTTGTGGACACTGTGTGCCCTGAGGATCCGTTACCACCTCCAAAAGTTCACCGAGATGTTGATTCTGGAAGGGGCGACTTCGAGCTTTTCCAACAATATGTTCTCCCTTCTGGTGGCCTTTGCGCTATTGGTGATATGTGGGATGATGTCGCTTGAAGCGATGTTTTTTCAACAGTGATGTTGGTTAATATTCCCGTAAATTAAGCCCCCAAAAAATCCAACAATTGAGAAATTCCTCATTAAATGGTAGTGATATCGGGCCATCTATATCCTGGTATCCCCCTGGTTCCCTCAAATATGTATTGGTATTCAAAAAGGTTGGATAATATACAGATTAATCAGTCCAACCGCCCAGGCCCAAGTATCCGAATGCCTCGACTATTTGGCTGGATGCAAACACCTGAAGCCGCCCGGGCGATGGGAAGCTTTGTCATCTCTCAAGGGTGGATGAGACGTCGGAACCCACTCTTACCAATTCAAAATTCCATACATGTAAGAATCTTCAGCTAATCCACCGCTTTGGCTGGTTTGGGAATGCCACCTCGGGAAGAAACAATTGGACTTGTCCTTTTTGATTCGAATATAAAAGATCGGCTCTTCTCAAGGTTATATAGTGGCCAGAGAGCAACATATGGCTTATAGTTTCAGGGGATGCGATATTTGGGAAGACTCCTTAAGATTTGAATTCTTTTGACAAGGTGTTGGGGTAGTGTTATATATATATATACACCAGCATGAAACAGCAAACCATGTATGGTGCCAAAAAAATACCAGGTGCTATTTTTAGTATCTAGCATATGTGATTCTGGGTTCGGTTCTATTAGTCAGTTGGTTCCCTTGCCCAAAAAAAAAGTTTGAACTTTTTTGAATGAGAAAAACCATGGTGATAAGACTCGTGTTTCCATTTTCGTTACTCGAGAATGTATGACTTCAATACCAGTCTCTATGCATATGAAAACACAAAAGTACAGTTTGGGTATGTGCTAGATGTATTTCGTAGGACTGCCTGCCTTTGTTACAGCCACCTGCGCCAGCCATTGGGTGTGATCTGAGGAGGAAGCCATCAAGTCCTTCAACCTGCCAGTGGAACGACCTGCCAAGTCATCGTCGTGATGCAAGGGTCATGAGAATGTTTTTCCAACGATGGGGTTGGTGGTAAAATATTTATACCTACATACAGTTTGATGAAAAAAATGTCAAGTGATTCCATGTGAAACAACCCACCCTGCTGTTGGTAATTCTAAGTTGCAAAGCAATTATGAATTATGACCAGTTGTGAGAGCATGGCTGGTACCCTTACCAAATTTCGATGGGGTGATAAAACAAATCACCGTGAAAACGCGTGAAATGGACGTGAAAAGAACACATTTTGACGTGAATGGACCGTGAAAACCGTGAAAGGTCCCCCACAAAAAAAATCACCGTGAAAATGCGTGAAATGGACGTGAAAATACCACATTTTGACGTGAACGGACCGTGAAAACCGTGAAAGCTCAAATCTGTAGTTTTCAACAACTTTTTGGGTGGACAGATCTCTAAATCTGGGGTTTCGGAAGCTTCACTTATGCATCATCATTTATCGTAGCCAAATTTTGGTTTCAGCTTCTTGCCTTGTGGTTGTTGGGGCCATGGCCTTGCCCGCTTTACCCTTTCCTGTGGAAGACTTGGGGTGGGATAAATTTGATGAAGTTCAGAAAGCGGCCCAGCTTTCCCGGGAAGAGTGCCTCACGGTCATGAAGCTTGTGTGTGGCAACCCACCTCCTGGTTTTGACCCTCGATCAGGTATTTAGAAGCCATAAGTTGGTATCCATATGGTTGTGAAATCCCACTACATGTTTTTTATTGTTACATATTATCTATGCATTTTTTGTTTCACCTGCACTTGCCCCAGAACGTGCTTTATATTTATTTCGCCAGCACGTATCCAACCAAAACTATCAAATATGTTTGTATATATTATGTGTAAATATACATATATATGTATGTAAACATATGTAACAATGTAACATATATATATATGTAAGCAACGATTTCTCAGGTTGGGATCCCCGGCATCTGCTTTCTGTCATCCAAGGACCTTGGGCAACAAGGGAAGCCGGACAAGCCCAAGCCGAAAGTGAAGGCCAAGGCGAAAGCCGCGGCCGCTGTGAAATCAAAAGCAAAAACCAAACCAAAGGCTAAAGCCAAGAGTGGTGGCAGCCGGTCAAAGCCGAAACCAGTTGTGAAGAAAGGAAAGACAAAGGCAAAGGCGAAGGCAAAGGTTGTTGCGAGACCCAAGAAACCAGAGATACCAGAGGATGATGAGGAGGCAGAGGAAGAAAGTATGGAATCGGATGAGGAGGTAGAGCCTGTAGTCTTGAAAAGACCTGCTGCCAAGAAAGCTCCGCCCCCTGGCACTTCCACACCCCCTGATGCTGTCCCTGACCCTGTGGTAGAGCCTGCTAGGCAAAAGAAACCGCCAATTGAGGCCCCTGTGTGCAATGGCCATGTTAATGCTAAGCATGAGCCGTCGGAGACGGATTCAACTGCTCCCACCGCTGTTGAGCCCCAGACACCAGCCGGAGGGCAGGCAGATCTTGCAGCTGCTGTGCCACCTTTGAAACGCTTGCGCACTGAAGGGGGTGAGACACTGTGGCCCCCTGAAAAAAATGGCATCATCTTTTGAAAACTGCTATGGGTCTAGAATATCCATAATTTTTGGTGGCGCCGAATGGAACCCCATGACAAAAACAATACATAGATAGATAGACGGGTAGATATAGATAGATCAGGTAGATAGATATATATATTTATTCATTTATTTAAATTCAATTGAAATCAATGCAACATTTCCATTTCCATACGCGTTCCTAGGAAGTTGCGTCCGATATCCCCAGATTGATTTGCCTGGCAACCTGATCACCCATATATGTTGATAAGTTTATTTATTTCTTTTTTGGCCACCTCAAGAACTACTTCAAAAGGTATTGCTCCGAATAATATGTTGGTTTATCATTGGTCAATTTCAAATTCAATCTCTGTTTTGGATTTCACCAAACCTATACCAAATGCAGAAAGATGAACCATCAGTCAACCAAATGATATAACATAACCAGCATACATCTTCATAGCCACAGCTTTTTTGAACCCCTCCGTTCGATCTCAGGTCATGCAACACCCTGCAAGATGGTCTTGCTTTGGTGGCCGGACAACGGAATGATCTTGGCAATGCTGCTCTTCAGCCTGAGATGACACAGGTGCAGGATTCGCAAGAGGCGTCGTCGCAGCTTTCGCTAGCAAGCACGCTGCCGTGGCTTGGGTTCAATGTCCCATATGCTAGTTTTCTTTCCGACTTGCATCCAAAATAATATATATATATATACTTCCCCTATTCTCATATATATTTCAAGATTGAAAGTCGGGGTTAGGGGCCACATGGGGTATACTGCATAGCCAAAAGAATTACATGTATCTTCATTCTAGCCCCTGTGTTGCTTCAGGTTGGGTGCAAGCGTGAGCACTTTGGGGACTACTGTGGCAGCGTCTCCGAGGGAGCTGGAATTGCAATCGAGGCTTGCAGCAGTTCAGGCCGAACTCTGTGCTTTGAGGGAGAAGCGTGACATGCAGGAGAAGGGTTCTGTGGATGACATTGACAGGGATAAATTGTATCGACGTATGGATGCAGAGCTGTGGGATCATTGTCTCCTAGCGCAGGACTGTTTCTTTCCAAAACCATACTTGTGACTGTGAAAAACATATGCATTCTTATAGATACAGAGCAATATGTTATAATGTTCCCCTTGTCAATATGTATACATACATCTAAGAGAGAGGGAGAGAGAGAGAGAGAGAGATGTAATAGGTAAACATAAATAAATATATATATATAATAGTATATTCATACAAATAGAAATTAAGATATATATATATATATATATGTGTGTGTGTGTGTCTGTGTTCGTTTCCGGTATGTCCCATGGTTACTGTTTATGCGCCCTGCATGTGCTGCAGGATGGTACTCCCAGAGCTGATCGTGATACAGCTGATCCTCTTGCACAGCCTGGTGCTTGCTCCATTCCGGGTCCTGAGCAGGCCACTGCTGATCCGCCCTTTGAGCCCACCCAGGTTGTGAGTCCTGATGGATCTAGCAAGGATGGATCCCAACCGCCCAAGCCTGATGAACCTGGTGATGTCGAGGTTTTGATTGATTCCCCCCAGAGTCATCCGCCCCAACCTGGTGGATCCGGTGACAATGAGACAATCCAGCAGAAGCAGCAGCAGCAGAAACAGCAAAAGGTCCATGTCTTCAGTGAGCCTTTGAAGAAGGAAACGGTGGTTGTGGGTGCAGCTTTGACACCGCCAGTGTACTCCAAGCAGCCTGCAGCACCTGCAGCATGCGCAATGCCCGAAGCCCATGCTGTGACCCCGCCACAGCCGAAGCAACCTGCAGTACCTATGCCTGAAGCCCTTGCAGAGACACCGCCACAGCCTGAGCAACCTGCAGTACCTGCAATGCCCGAAGCCCTTGCAGTGACACAGCCAGAGCCCAAGCAGCCTGCAGTACCTGCAACGCCCAAAGCCATTGCCGTGACTTCGCCACAGCCGAAGCAACTTGCAGTACCTGCAACACCCCCTGCTGTGACACCGCCACAGCCCGAGCAACCTGCAGTACCTGCAATGCCTGAAGCCCTTGCAGTGACACCGCCAGTGCCCAAACAACCTTCAGCACCTATGCCTGAAGCACCGCCAGTGCCCAAACAACCTGCAGCACCTATGCCTGAAGCCCTTGCAGTGACCAAACAACCTGCAGCACCTATGCCTGAAGCCCTTGCAGTGACCTCGCCAGTGCCCAACCAACCTGCACCTGAATCGGTTGATGCATTGGTGGCAAGTGTGCGATCTGGCCAAAGTGAAGGCCAGATGCCAGCCATTCCAGATGACCTAGCAGCGATGGTTGCAGCAGCTCCACCCCAGACATCCCAGCAGCCTGCTGCTGCAGTGCCTGGCCAAACGCCACTTGACCCCAGGGTCAACACTTCCACCAACCGGGCGGCATCTATGAGGCTCAACCGCTTCATGGAGTCTGCGGAAGGTCAGAAGTTTCCGCACATGCTGAAGCTTTTCAATTCCAACAGCGATGAGCCTTGTTCCGATTTCGATCCTTTTTGTTGGTACTGGGAAAAAACCTCAAGGTTTTGGGCTAAAGATTTGTTAAAAAGTGGCATAAGTTCTTCCTATCTTTTCTTATGTATATATGTTTAAAAACAAATTCAATGTTCCTATATATATATATATATGTGTGTGTGTAGGGGGATATAAAAAACTTGGCTGTATATACATATACGCGCACCTACGTACACTATACATTATATAATATATAAGAAGAAATAATATAAGATTTTTTTTTAAAAATATATATATATATATATCTATATATTCTCTTTCTGATGTGTGTGTGTGTTCAATTTGGCTGTATAAAGAGCAAGTTGAGGACAAACGAAAGCTTTTGCAGACATGGGTGGCCGAGGGTGAGAACAGACAGGCTTGCGAATCCAGGGTGATCCTCACGAAGGAGTCTTCCAATGTCTACCGTGGTCAACGGGAGCTGGTCTCGATCCGGGACATGATCTTGGTGAAGAATTGGCCTATGGAGAAGATTCGGGGGATTGTAGCGAGGGGTGGCGGGGTGCCAGACCCTGATGCCCCTACAGTGCCAGCCCTCACCCAATACTGGTGCTATGTGAGCAGGACCCATACGGAGGAGGAATCGGTGCGACAAACGGCAGAAACCCAGGTCGCAGCACAGACGACTTCGGAGGGGATTGGTGCCATGATGGGTTCTACTTTGCCTCGAGGTTTGGGGTCAGCTGCGGTCAATCAACAGCAGCTGGATGAGATCACCCAGTCAGTTGCTTTGCCTGGTGCTGTTGTGCCTGAAGGCCATGGTTGTGAAAACGTTTGTTTTCGTTTCCTTACTGTATGATTTCACTTTTTTTAAGGTCCGATTTTTCTGCTGCAAGTGGGATTCATCAAGGTAACCAAGCCCCACAATTAGTGGTAGAACCTGGTAGTGAAGTTGTGTTATACTTACCTCATATGTAGACATACTGGTATATGCACAGAGCATGCATGGTGATGATGCCGGTGGTGATGGTGTTGATGATCATTATGGTGATCATTATGATGATGTTGATGATGAGGATGACCATGGTGATGATGGTGATGTCGATGATGATGATGATGATGATGATAGATGATGTGCATGGTGATGAGGATACTGATGCCAGTCATTTAGTAGTTTCTATATATATACCTAGCCGTATCTCCCCAAAATTTTGGCTTCTTGGCCCTTGGTGGGTCGGTGGCTCCAGGACCTGCTGCTGGTGCCAAGTCCCGTGCGAAAGCCAAGGCGAAACCCAAGGGAGCTCCCAAGGCCTCGGCTGGACCGGGCGGTGGTGTGGCCACTGTGGAGCCGCTGAGTGTGGCTGAGCGCAAGGCTGCAATTGGCAACCTGCCCTGATAGGTCAAATAAAGTTTGTCTGATTTATTTTTCATGTTTTTTCCTTGGTCCCCAATCATGTCTTTACTAAAATGATGTCTTCGAAGTAGCACCATCATGTTGCCAGGTACCACCATTCGGAAAGAGCTTGGAACAATGTCAGTTGCTTTGGATTTGCCCAAAGACCATGCCCTCCGCACCACCATCGAACAGTACAAGAAGCGATTTGAAGAGTACTCTGATGAGTTTTCCGGCAATTTTAGTGTCATATGATATGCTTCAAATTTTCTTTGATTCCAAGTAGTTCCCCTCATTTTATTCCCTTGAGATAATTTCAGACATCCAACATTTCTTGTGTTTACATGCAGTAGTTTGGGTCAAAAACCATCAATATATATATATATATATTAGATATGCACGTATCTACAAACACAGACATGATGAGGCCTATGTACACATAAACGCATATACACGTACATGTCACAACTTCATCCTTACCATTTACATCAAAATAATGCAATCATATGTGCATGCTCTTCAAAAGACATTAAAAGACGAAAAACATCAAATCCCAACAGCAACAACAACCCCTTGTATGGATTTATATATGGATATATGTTCATATAGGTTTTTTTTGATACACATATATATATATTATATATATGTACATATACACATATATTCGTGTTCATACCGCCTGGCTAAAAACTCAAACCAGCAAGGTTGAAGAGTACCAACAGCCTTGAGAATCTGGAAAGTTTGCAGTCAGAACTTGCTGAGAGTGTCCCTTGGCCTTTAAGATGGTGGATGGATGACCCACTTACTTTATTTTTGCTGAACCAAATTTTACAATAACAGGAACAATCCCATGTAAACCAACAAGCTCCTGGGCGGTGATTGCTTGGATTCCCGGCCATATGAGGTCAATGCCTACCGGATGGTCAAGGCGCAGAGCAAAGCTATCCTGGCAGAGCTCAAGAAGCAGTCCAAGTGATTTGCTTTGCGATGTGTGACTCAGAGATTTTGAAATTCGAGTTAGATGCGGGGCATGTCAGGGTTGGACGAAGCTCACTAATTCTGTGTGATCCCCCGTAGCCTGCAGTTGGATGAAACCAGAACTTAATGGTTTGCAGCCTTCTTGCTTATTGTGGTCCTGTTGGGTACGTTAAGGTATTCATTGTAGCTCAAACCCTAGTATATCAAGTCAATTCGACTGCGGGAGGGGGGTTCAAGGAGCCCTGATATATATGGGAGCCATCTGGCTCATTGGTCGATAGGTTGAGGTCACCATTGCAATAGTGAGATGAGCGCTGTCCAGTGAAAAAAAATGCGGGCCCTATACACGATTTGAATCCAAACCTTCCGATTCTGATTCCATGGATTTTGATATAGGTAACCCATATGGTAACCCTGAAAAGATCAAAGATTAAGATATGCGATTTGGATTTCAAGTTTATTTAGACTCCATAGTTTCTGTTTGACAGCTATCCCTGGAAGATCAAAAGAATTACACGTATGATTTGGGTTTCAATGCTGACATTTCCCAATTCACAGGTTTGACAACCATCCCTGGGAAGATTAAAAATGAATAAGGTGCATCCTGCAACATGGAATAGTCCCCTGTCACCTTTGGGCCCCGGCGCAGGGACGTGGTCTGATCCACGGCGTGATGAGCAACTGCAGCAGTTGCACGAAGTGTTCCTCGCCTGCCTGGGCGTTTGAGAATTTTCTTGGGTGGTGTATATTAAATACATATATAGCTTGATGTTTGAATGTCTATCTTTGTATCCACCTATCCATATCTATCTATAGCTGTGCAACTTTCTATCTGTCTACCTTTTCTACCTACCTACCTATCTGATACCTATGTATAAATACCTTTCTATTACTATATCTATATATCCCCGTCTGGGGTGGCCCTCAGGGTTAGACCCCAGTTTCATCAGGTTAAGATTCCTGGACTGACATCCAAGATCATCAAAAAATATCAAAAACATACATCCAGTATCCCCCCCAGGTGAAGGCTAAAACTCAAGCTCAAGCCTAAAAAAATATCAATTTAAACGTCCAACATCGCCAAATCCCAGATGATAAAACTCAGGGTTACAAGGTCTATGGAGCCAATGAATTTGCAGTTCCACGAGCTGAAACAAAAAACAACATAAACACTTTATTATATACAAAAAGATACATACATATGATTTTTTACATAATTATATATAATTTTCGTTTTGTGGCGTAAATCTGCTGAGCTGAGCATGCCAGGGCTGCTCTTGGACCGCAGCGGTTCAAATGGTTTCTGCATTTCGTTTGCCATTTTTTGAACGTTGTGAACACATGATTGTTGAATTCTAGTTTGTTGTTCAAGAACTGATAGCTATTCTGTTCCCTTCAAACCCTCTGAAAGCATCCTCCCCCAATGAGAGCCACCTGGCCAGCTCACGCACAAACACACCACCATGGCATGGACATGTTAAGCCGAAGAAATTCAGCCAGCCCACGTTCCTCAAATTACACCTCAATTTCAAGAAATTTATCCCGGAACCGTGGCGCCGAATTCGGCAACGAGTTCTTTGCATACACCGTTAAACTTTCAAAAGTTCGGCATGCTAATTCATGTTTTTCGTTGAAAGAACAGGCGAAAACATGTGCTATATAGTTTTTCTTTTGGTTAAACTGTCCTTTGGTTTAAGCTTACCTTCTGAATGTAACATTTTGTTCGACACTAGATTTGCATACGTGGTTTGAAATTCAAAAGGGCCGGTATATGGACATATCAAAACTTAAACAGAAACTAAAGGTGAATCTAAGGAAGGTGGGCTGGCTGAATTTCTTCGGCTTAACGTGTCCATGCCATGTTGGTGTGTCGGCGCGTGAGCTCGTCATTGTAATGGCATTGTTGGCATTGTCTTGCAAGCATCGTCAAAATTATCATGATCATCATACCAACATTTTTTTGTTGGTTTTGTTTTGGTGGTTTGTATATTTTTTTGGTTATCCTGTTCATGGCTCGATCTATCTTGATTTTGCCTCATTTTGATGCCCAAAATACCTATGGATAAAATTCTTCGGGCTGGACCTGGTATAAATTGCCAATTTAAACATCAAAATGTCTCAACATCCTTGAGATGAAATTCTTGCAACAACATGCAAGATACCTAAGGGCTAAATTTTGGGACTGAGTCAGAGATACCCAGAAAATTGCTAAAAATGGGGCTGGAGCCCAAGAATCTCAGCAGCTAGGACCAGACGGGGATTCTATATTCGGTCCCTCTACATATGTCCACATATGCAAAAAATATATTTCTATTTATTTATCAGTCGACCATTGCATATACATATATAATCCCGTGTGTGTGTGTGTGCGGCTCTAAGCTGTGGGAAAAAACAGAAAGCCGGTTCTCATTTTAGTTGGAACCATGAAACCAATTCTTTCTCATGAAAGCTGCCTTTAAAACAAAAAGGTATACCTCTCAGGAACAGATTGATCTTTCCATATGGTTGGATTCCAGCCACTCAATGTTTAGCTTTGTTTCGGGGGTATGAAAGCAGATCCTGTTTTCAAAACACCAGTGAGGCTAGCATCTGGCATTGGCTCTGGTGGCTCTTCAATCGTTCATGCCTGTCGAGTTGGGGAAATTTTTGGGTCAGAAGTTTTTCAAAGGCGCCAATGCTGAACCTTGCCACTGTTCCCTTCAAAACGTTTTTGATTTAAAAGGGGATTTGCCGGTAAAGGTATAACCCTGATAAATTCAACTGCTTTCAATCAAAAATTTCACCCTGCAGGGCTGGTCAAGCAGAACAGCGTGTTCACAAAGCTGCCCAGAAACGTGGATTGAACATGGATGTTGAACTTTCCTACTTCGAAATTCCTCTTTGCACTGATCCGGATGAGGGGAAAGTGGAACTAGTGCCGTGGCCCTTTCTTTTACCCAGTGTCTTGGTATCTCTGCTGCAACAGACGAAAAAATCATTCTCTCAATGGGTTGTACCTTTGTGTTATTGACTATTTCTGTGGTTATAAACTGATCTTACTTTCGACAAACGTGTTGGTTTGCCTTCAGTGGCCCAGGTACGGGCGATGATTGATCAGGGTTATCTTTCACTACTCGTTGGTGACCTGGGTCATATGCAGGGGTATTGGAACCAATTGCTTCTAGACTATCCTGGGCACCCAGCACATGGCCAAGAAGCACAGTCCATCCCTTTGACTTTATATGGTGACCTGTTTGCAATTTTCTTTTGTCAGATACATTCTGGTATTTCGATAATGTATTGGTTTGAATTTCCCCAAGACCCTGTTATGGTGTCCTGTTAACTTTGTTTTCCCTTGTATCTCAGGTGATGAGGGGAATGCATTCCGTAGCAGCTGGATGACATTCCACTGGCAACCTGATCTGAGCCCCCTGCTCCAGAATAGCGCCTGCAGCCGATTCATCATCACAACTGTTCCATCCAGCATGCCCCTTGTCACATGCAAATAAATTTCCATTTTGTATATATGAGAACTAGTCTGTGACTTTGGTATGACAAATAATCGTTTGTTCAGAAAGGGATCTATTCAGATACATTTTTTGAGCATCGTCCTACTGCTGCCCAGGTATGTCTTTGATGAGAACGGGATCAACCTCACTCTGCAAGCAGCTGGCGCTGTTATTCGTGACTCTTTCAATGATTTGGGGACCCGTGGGTGTCAAATCGCTGACCGATCTGGTGATATTGCACCTTCGTTGAATATCCAGACAAGCTTTTGTGGTTTGTCATTGTTGGGCAAACCTTTCAATAGGTGTAATGGGTTTATCGAAAAAACAGAAAATTGTTTGGACCATCTATATTATATATATAAAGCTTCATTGGAGGGGGCCTGGTGATAAGCTTGGGGCTTTTTCAAAACCAGTTCATTTACTCTTCACCCATAAGGTCCTGGATCTTCGGTGTTTTGTGGTGAATTTCAAGGGTGATTGGAAATATTTGTATCAGCTCTTCTGCATGGAACGCTATGCCACCAAAGAAGAGGCCTGCGCCAGAAAATTCACAGCTCGGTCTGCAGCATGTTAATGTAGGATAGGCCTGAGCATAGCAGGATTTTTTATTTCGAGAATCTTGGTCCCCTGAAGGTTTGCTGGAGATGCAGAGCCACTAAGGGTACGAATGATCCGAACTGGTCATATAGCAACATTAGCGACACCGCCCCATGGAGAAGAACCTTATTTTCTGAAAGCCCATGGAATGAGAATGTGGTCCCGACACTGGCAAGTCTTTTAGGATTCAATATTCAGATGCTGGGAGTTGATTTGTTACATATCTTCCACTTGGGAGTGGGTCGAGACCTTTGTGGGTCTGCTATCCGCATCATGGCTTCCAAGCGTGGCTACTGGAGGGGTCGCACCCAGGAACAGCGGCTCAAAACGGCCACCCAAAGGTTGAAATCGTATGCAAAACAACATGGATATTCTCTGGCAATGTCAAAGCTTTCGAAACAAAACCTCAACTGGAAGGCCGATTGTTTCCCAGAGCTCAAAACGAAAGGCTTTGATTGCTTTGTCATATTGAGATGGCTGGTTTGGGAAATTGGCAACAAAGACATTGAAAATGACCTTTTGTCCACCGAAACTAGGAATGAGTTTTGAGCAAAACTTTCTCCGTATCACTTCTTTCAAAACTGTTAGGTGTTATTTCGATCAGAAGAATCACTTGTTTTCCAGTGGGTTTGATTTGCTAAGGCCCTTTGGAGTGCCGACTGCTGGCTGAATCTACTGAACAAATCTAGAATGTTTCTGACAGAGTTGGAGGAAGAGAACCGATTGACATTGGGCAAACTGTGCACCACAAGCTATGCAGCTTTGGCTGCCAACGCTGTACAGGGAAAACGATTTCTGTTTCGACTCCGTCCAAAGTACCACTTGTGGCACCACCTAGCCATAGATGTCAGGGCATCAAAGTTAAACTGTAACATCCATGCAACGTGGATGGATGAGGACAGTGTTAAGAGATGGATGAGGATTAAACGCCAGGTGCATCGTCGCACTGCAACTGAAAATGTCCTCCGGCGTTTTCTGCTGGGACTCCGGGCCAATCTTGACCGGGGGTTGGCACTGGTCCGATCGAGCTAGGAAAAAATGGCGATGGAGCGTTCTCAGGGCCGGTGCAGCTAGCTCATCAGTCTATATGTTTCCATTGATCGCTATTCTGTTGGGTTAAAATTTGTCATACCAGCCAGCTCTCGAAATTCACCGATAGAAATATCTCTGTTACCACTGGGGTCCGAGATCATCAGAAAACATTTTGGGAATCACAATTTTCTGGTCATGTTGGAACCCCCTTGGCAGGAAAAAAAGGTTTACCTCACAAAGGTCATGGTTTGGATCTGAATGGTTTCGTCCTAAGTATGTGTCATTCCCAGGGGGAAGCTGGATCTTCAATAGAGCACATGCACATATAGACATGTGTGCACAGAAATGCTAGTATATATAAAAACATATACAATATACATATATAAATATAAACACATATATATATATTTATATGATATATATATATATATGTACACACATATATTTATATACACATATATATATATATATACATATATATACACACATATATATATATATTATATGGGTAAATTTAAATATTTCACTAACCTGAATTCAGGCCATTTTGGGATGATTCCTCTTATTAACCATGATTCACGTGAGGTCGCAGTGAGGTCGTTATAATTTAACCAGATTTGAAGATTTATATATATATATACATTTCTTTATATACCAGTAGCACTGCACAAGGTGGTGGCGGAAGTTTCAAAGTTACTATTTAGGTGAGTTGCTGTGATGCATGGATGGCAGAGCGAATCCACTGATGGGCGTAATTAAGGTGGTTGAAGCAAATTTCCGAGTTACGTACAAATGTCCGCAGGGAGCTTTTCGAAACGATGGCAACCACACAGGAAGCCAGAATAGCTGGGAAGTTGACACAGCAAGCTATGGAAACAGGTGACCATGATTGACCATGGTAAGAGTCAGGGAGTGTGTGAGTTTAGTCTAGCAACGTGGCGCAATTATCCATGGCTCAATTTTGGATGGATAGTAGCCAACTTGGTGTGCTGAGCGAAGTTTTACATCACCAATTATGATCTTTTGGCCTGCGCTGCATGGCTGGCATTGTTTCATAGGCCAAAGTAGCGTGAAAGTGCGTGAAAAAACTGCATTTGTACCACTTGGGTCCCTAACTGGTTCGGATGGCCATTTAGACCAGAAAAACCAGTCAAAATGAATGTCTAGGAACTTTCCCAGCAGCTTTCGACGGCCTTTCGCTGCTTTGCCATGGGACCTCCCGAGGCCCCACGAGCTGTTTCTGTTGGGCTTCGAAACTGCTATCTGGCACTTCCGAAGCGCCACAAAATAAAAGCTGTTTCTATTGGGCTTCGAAACTGCTATCTGGCACGTTTTCAGCACCCCTTAAAGCCTTCAAAACCCTCAAAACCCTCAAGACCCTCGCAGCAGCTTTCGACGGCCTTTCGCTGCTTTGCCATGGGTCCTCCCGAGGCCCCATAGGCTGTTACAACTGTTTCTGTTGGGCTTCGAAACTGCTATCTGGCACTTCCGAAGCGCCACAAGCTGTTTTTATATTGGGCTTCGAAACTGCTATCTGGCACGTTTTCAGCACCCCTTAAAACCCTCAAAACCCTCAAAACCGTCAAAACCTTCGCAGCAGCTTTCGACGGCAGGACTTATAAGAACCCCAGGTGAACAATCCTCAGTTTCAACCTTCAAATCACCCAAAAACCTGGTGAAAATCATGGAAAAACTCACCCCACCCTAAATCCCATGGTTTATCATCATTGCCCCCATGGAAGAATTGCCACAAGTTGAGGGTAAATCCTCCATTTTCAAGTACCACATCGGATAACATCCAATAACCATGGCCCTCCAAATGGGGGTCGGCCGCACCAGGGCGTTAGCCCATTTATAATTTCTCCCCTGGGGAAAACCCACAAAATGGCACTCAATCTGGCTCTCTCCTACAAGTTTTCCCAACTTTGCGTACGCCCCCCTATTTCTGCCATATTCCGTTCATTTCCTTCCAAAAAAATCCCGTTGGCCATAATGGGAATGAGTGGGAAATGTTTGGGTTTCATTTGTTATTTGACAATTCTGGCAAGTTTCTGGGCTAATTTGGTGATTAGCTGCCCACTTTCGTTTTTGAGGGGTACCAGGCATCTCCAATACCCCTAGAATAATTTCTCCCTTGGGGAAAGCCAACAAAATGGGACTCAACCTGGCCTTTTCCTAGGCATTTTCCTGACATTTCCTATTCCACCCAAAGAACTCTCGAGAGAAAGTACCGTGAGAGAAAGGTGGCAAACACCGCCAAGCTAGGAATGGCTTTTGGAAGGGCCAGGCCAAATGTAGGACGTATAGGCTGCTTCGAGATGTTTTAAGATGCTTTTAAGTTAAAGAACATTATTCCAAAACCTAATTATTCCGTTGTATCTTGACGGGGGGTGATCATGATTTCAAGGTTCCGACATGCATCTCGTATACCTACCCCTTGAAGAAATTATTCCTTGAAAATTATTTTAACTAGACGACGGATGGCCCGAGAGCGTAGAGGAGCAGAGTCTTCTGTTGTTAGTATGGAAACACGCTTTTTACACAC